ATTAATAACCTCTACTGTGTCCAGCTACACCTGAATCTGCACACAAGGTGAAGGGAGTAACGTGCGTACGCCAACTCAGTAAGTAACAACAATAAATAAAGACTGAGCAGTAGTGACGAGCAATAAAGCATATAACATTCATATCGGAAAATCTTAGTAAAATACCACATGCTTTTAAAATCAAGATTTGAATCAAAACATCTCGTTTAACCCAATTCCAGTAAAAATCATTTAAAGATCTTTTTCAACAGTTTTCAGACAGAGGAAAAATGCAAAGGTGAGCAAAATGATGAAATCATAAACAACCCATCGGGCAAAACATCACTCATATACAGCCCCTCGGGCAAACCTCACAGTAACTCGTGCCACTCGGGCATACCTCACAATCACTCTTACCACTGGGGCATACTTCATAATCACTCATGCCTCACAGTCACTCAGCACTCAACACTCGGCACTCGCACTCAGTAGGTACATGCGCTCACTGGGGGTGTGTACAGACTTCGGAGAGGCTCCTTCAGCCCAAGCGCTATAATCTGTACGGACAACTCACGTGCTACAATAATAAAGTATGCTGCAGGCGGGCATCCCCGATCCACACTCATCCTCACAATCAGGCCCTCGACCTCACTCAGTCATAAACCTCTCAAGCCACTCGGGCATTTCAGTAAAACAGAGCATTCAGCCCAAAATATTTATATGCATCAAAATAGAGTCATAAAACTGAGTTATGTGGTAAACAAGTATAAACATGACTGAGTATAGATTTTATATCAAAAACAATGATAGGATAGTAAGAAACAACCCCTAAGGGTCTAAACAGCACTGGCGTAAGGCCCAAACATGGCATTCAGCCCAATTTACACAAATTCTTTCTAAAACATATAAATATGATATAGTTTTAACAAAGTATGCAACTTTACAGTTGCTACGGGACGGACCGAATCACAATTCCTAACAGTGCACGCCCACACGCCCGCCACCTAGCATGTGCGTCACTAAAAATAGTAGAATGATACAAAATCCGAGGTTTCGTACCCTCAGGACTAGATTTACAATCGTTACTTACCTCAATCGGTCAAATCTCTACCCCGCAATGCTCTTGCCTTTAGACTCTGCCTCCAAATACTTCGAATCTATTCACAATCAGTATAATAACATCAATACGCGCTAATGGAATGAATTCCACAAGAAAAGCTACAAAATTAGACCAAAATCCGAAATTTTCTCAAAACCGGCCCTCGGGCCCACGTCTCGAAATCTGACAAAATTCACCAAACTAGAAAGCTCATTCACTCACGAACCTAACTATACCAAATTCATCAAAATCCGACATCGTTTGGTCCTTCAAATCCTTATATTACTCTCCAAAAATTCCAAGCCCTAACCGCTCATTTTTACTAATTACAATGATTAAACAACGAAAAATAACCATATATACAAGTATTAGGGATCAAGCAACTTACCTCACTGATATCCTTTGAATCACCCTTCAAAAACCCTCCAAAAGCTCCAAAACCCGATTTGAAAATGGTGGAAATGAACCAAATTCGCGAAAGGTTCTATTTATGGTTTCTGCCCAGGTTTTTCGCACATGCGAAAACTTTCACGCTTCTGCGCCACCGCACCTGCGAAAAAATCCATTGCAGGTGAGGAACTCACTTAGGAGCCCAGCTTCCGCATCTGCGGCNTTTCACTTCTTTTCCCCTTTAAATAATAGGGTGGTCAAAAATCAGTCACCTTGTTCATTTTCTTTGCCTGAAAACTCTTCATGTTTCCAAGCAAAGAGGGGCATGCTGTGAACAACTAATTTTTGACCACACTCAAATTCTATACTATTTTAGTGTAAATATGTGTTTTATGTCTAATCTTGATATTTTAAATATTTATCTCACTTTTAGTAGAGTTTATAAAAACTACAAAAATATTCACACTTTTAAAATACATATTTTGTTTCTATTTGTAAAGAGAAAAAAACTACTTGGTTTCATATAATTAGAATTTTAATAAGTAAGCTATAGTATCTTTCTTAGTATAATTTAAACTACAATGTAAATATTTAGTTTTCTTATGTATATAATATTTAAATTTAAAAGTAGCTGACTAATATTTTTAACTATGCAATTTACTTTCTCTAAAAAAAATAATAATTAAAAAAAAAGAAGAAATAAAAGTTAATTTATAAAATAAAAAAAAAGAAGGGCAACTAACAAAAAGAAGAAAAAAAATAAAAATAAAATAAACAATACAAAAGATCTCTTCTAATCTTAGTAAGCTGCCTATACAACCATAATCCTCATTTTTTCAAACTCCCCACGTCTCACTCCTCACGTCCCAACTATCCCCTCAATCTAATCCATGATCATACACACATACGAGTAGGACTTTAGGATTTTTCATATAAATAGCACACACTTGCACTTGCTTAAGGGGAGATCTTTGAATAAGAAAAATAACGTGAAAAGTGAGAGGAAGAAACAAAGAAGATTCAAAAACAAAAGGAAAGAGAGTTTTTCTAGATAAAAGTTTGAGAGATTCTCGTGTGATTAGGAGGTCGAGTTTCCATTCGTTGCTTCAGGTTCGACATTGCTGCTACTTTGTCCGGCCTGAGTTTCTGCATTGGATTGGAGTTTGTACTGGTTCTTTTTCTTGTATTACTGAAATTCTTTTGCTAAGGTTTGGATTTTATCCTTCTTCACTGTTATTTCTTAGTTTTCTTTGAATAAATTCAGAGCATTAGGATTTGGTTCCTTTTATTAGTAATTTATTTCCTTAATCCGTCATTTTTCTTTTTGAGCATATGTTTTTGGATAATTGTTATCATTTAGTTTATTTAGTGAAAGACTAAAAAGAAAGAATTCATAAGAAATTAAGGTTAAAATGACTATGGTGATGCTATAAATGTTTTTCTAGTATTAATTTAGCGGTCAGTTAAGTTTGCACAAAATTGTGCTATGAGGTTCATTAGAAACGAGTTAATTTTTTCAGTCATTCTTGTGAATAGACCATAAATTATAATAAATTTTTCCTTATAAGATTCTAGTAAGTTTCTTATATATAAAGAAAACTTTTTCTTCTTTGAATAAATGTTTACAACTGTTAACTACTTGGACAT